ACCACTGCCCCAGACCCACTTCTGCTCCCAGGATGAATCCCCTGCTAGCTGAGCTGTGGGAGGCGGGTGGGGGGGGGTTGGAGATTGGCCAGGACATTCCGCTCTCATATGCATTCACATGTATTCCTCACATGTGCCGAGCATCTGCTGAGAGACAGGAATATCACATCCCATTTTACAAATCAGAAACAGGCCTGAAGTTGAGTATAATATCCAAAGCCATATTCAACTTGAGCAGTTGTGGCTGCCAGGCCCATGCTCACAGTTCCGCCTCCCTGCCCTGGTTACCCTATCTGAGGCCACGGCTGCCTGCATTCTTGGCCCAGCCCCTCAAAGCCTCTTTGCTCTGCCCTTAAGTGACAAATTATATAATACTACCCAGCTGGCCGGCCCAAACCTGAGCTGAGGGCAGCAGTAGTCCGAGGCAATTCTATTTTTAGATGAGAGATGGCTTTGGAGACAGTAAAGAAGCAAAACAAATCCAAAACAAGAAAGGGCTTGAAAAGAAATTGTGCGCTGGGCCCAGCAGTCAGAAGCTGTGCATGCTGCCCCGGGTGGTGGTGCTCTGGAACTGCACCTCGGGAGGCTGTGACCCCAGCACTCGATTTTCAGGCCAGGACAGAGAATGCATCCCTTTTCTGACAAAAACCTGTGAGTGTAAACCTGTGCTCCTGGAGCGAGCACACACAGTGAAGCACTTGTAAGGCCTCTGTCCCATGCGGCCCTCGCTGCAGACAGCCGAGCAGGCCCTGCCCCTGGCCAGACCCAGCGGTGACTGAGCTGCCCACGCAGTGCAGAAAGGAGCATGAGGCAGCTTTCCTGGCAGTGGCCCCGTGATCTCCTGGACCTCTGTCTTCCCCATCCTCTGGTCAGCCTTTAACCTGAGTTTTTAGAAGCGTGAACAGCTGTGAGTTATTTTTCTGTTTTGAATAGCTGATACACACAGATCATTTTTAAAAGAAAGTATTTGAAAAACTGGGGAAAGTTCTCCATCCTACCTCCAGTGCCGGTTTCTCTGCCCAGGAGCAGTGTCTGCTCCTAGTTTTTTGTTTGTCCTTTCATGCATACTCTCATCTATGGCATATTGCAACCCTGTGTGTTTCCTAGCCATGGAGATGCTGGAATGCCCGCTTCTCCGTCATCACTCCATGTCTCTGGGGGGCAGTTCCATCTGAGGACAGACAACGTGCCATACTCATTTCTGTGTCGGGTGCAGTGCGTGCTGTGAGTGTGCCAGGACCTGTTCAATGTTTTCCTGCTGATGGGCAGTGAGGCCACAAGCTTTGCTGTTACAGATAAAGCTGCAATGAAAGCCTGTGTTCGTGAGGGGGCACACCTGGAGGTAAAGTTGCTGAGTCCACAAGATCAGGAAAGTGCATTTCAAAGTTGGTAGGTGGTTCCAAATGGCCCTCAGAAAAGGCCACCCCCCCTCCCCCACCAAGGATTTAGGTGCCTCCTTCTGAGATACTGGAAAGTGACACCTTTTGTAGTTTTAATTTGCTTTTCTCTTACTCCAGGGGCTTTGAAAAGTTTGTCTTAGGTGTAGATTTCCAGGCAGGAGCTTGTTTCATCTCCCACAGGAAACCTCAAATCACTGGTCTGGGCAGAGGGATGATGAGGAGCTGGGATAAGCCCTTCATTCCCTCCAGAGCAGATAAAACAGACATCTGTTTTGTCTCTCTGAGCCTCTCTGTTCTGGTTGCCTACTGAGACATCCAAAAGCCACCTCAAACTTAGTGGCCTACAAATAACCGTTGTATTTTTCTCATAATTCTGTGAGTGACTGGGCTTGGCTGGGCAGTGCTGCTGCTGCTGCTGCTGCTTGCAGTCTCCTTGTATTCTCAGGCAGACAGTGCTGGTGGCATGGCCAGGAGGCTCGGTGCAGATGCTGAGATGCCTCCCCCTCCCCGTGCAGCCTCTGTTCGTGGTGGGTCCATGATGTGGCTCAGGACTCACAGAGAAGCCACAGCTGAGGCTTCCAGGCCATTGCGGGGGACTGGCCCAGCGTCACCTAGGCAGCATTCTCCTGGTTAGTGAGGCCCAGCCAGCCTGGTGTGAAGGGCAGGGTGTGGGAAGGTGGTTTGGGGGCCATCTCTGAACACTCACTGTCTAAAAATCGGCCTGGGTGTTGGAATTCATGCTGAAAACATTTGAAATATTCCAATGTTTAAGGTGGTCTTTCTCTTCGAATCAACATGGTAGTTCATTTGTACTTTGCAGCAAATCTGGTAGCTAGACATTGCGTCTCTGATGTTGATCCAGCCAGTGTGATGTTTTCACTTTATTCCAGAGGCAAGTAAGAGGAGAGTCCTAGGGGTTGAGAAATGTGGATGTCACCTTGCTCTGCCCTGTGCCCTGCGAACTTTCCCTGGGACCCTTCACCTCTTAGAGCCCCAATCTCCAGATATGTAGCACCAGTGTGCAGCCTGAAGCACAGGGGTGGGGGTCTTTACTTCCCCTCCCTTATGGCCTCACAGTATGGGGGGACTCCACCCACTGAGCCCCACTCCACCTCAGTCCACCACAGATGAGAATAAGTCTACCAAGACATGATCTGTTTGCGGGGCAGGGAAGGTAGCCAATCTTTCAAAGGAAAAGGGCCTTGAGCCTGTTTCTCTATGGGCTTTTATTGGGTTCAGTTTGCACAGAAATACAGGTAAAGCTTATCAGTCATTGCCAGGCAGTAGTGATCAAACAATAGATAACAGACAAAGAACTATGAGGGCTTATTCTGAGTCAGGGTCAGTTAGCTAAAGGGCCACAAAACTTTGGGAAATAAACTCATTTTATGCTTGGACCCTTATCATTTAAATTGAGAGCATTCTTAGCAAAGCAGTCTTCACAGGATTTTATGCATTTTTTCTTAGGCCTGATCGACTAGGGGAACCACCTGTTCCTGCCCAGAGCTTCACTGCCCTCAGGCATTGTTTCAGGCTTAAGTCAGGTGGGGAAGTAAGGCAGCCAAGAGATTAGGAGACTTCTTGCAGACAGAATGAGGACTCAGGGTATGTCAAAGCCAAGGGTGAAGGTCCATCACCCCCATTTTCTATAGTCCCCCAAGGCCTTCCCTGATGGCCCCATCATGATCGTGCCTGTCTTAGGTCATCCCTCCCTTGAGGAATCTTACCCAGCATTGGCTAACCAGTCATCATGTGCCACCTGGGGCCTAGCAGGGTGAAGTAAAGGGCAGAGGTGGCACCCCAGCCAGGAAGATAAGCTTTGTCTCCTTAGTGGTTTATGGTCCCAAGGTCTTTTATTCAGTCTTAGCCATGGGGACTTACAGCTTCTAACACCAGGCAGGGCAGTTTCCAAAATCGCAGAGCTCTGGGTGTGGGCCCCAAAGTTCTGCACTACCAGCCTGGGGTGGGGGCATTAGCCACCTGGAGCTCCTGCTCTCCCTCTGTAAATATCACAGTGACACGTGCCCAAGCCATCACTTGATAAAACTGCTGGCTTTATGGAGCTACAGAAGGAAGAGAGCAGTGTCTACCCTCATGGCCTCTGTGTGGCCAGCCCAGGGCTCTGTCCGGCAGTCCATCAGACTCACTCCCAGCTGCAGCCCTGTGAGTGGGAACTGGGTAACTTTGAGATGGTTTGTTTTATGCCAAATGGAATGTAAAATGGTGCAGCCAATGTGGAAAAGTCTGGCAGTTCCTCAGAAAGTTAAACCTAGAGTGTACTCAAGACTCAGAAGTTCCACTCTGAGGTATATATACCTAAGGAAGTTGAAAACATGCATTCACACAAACACTTGCACAAATGTCCATAGCAGCATTATTTATAATAGCAAAAGTTGGAAGCAACCCAGATGTCCATCAACAAATGAATGGATAAACACAATGTAGTATGACCATACAGTGACATATTATCCAATCATAAAAGAGAGTGAAGTCCCGACCCATGCTGTATGGATGAGCCTCAAAAACATGCTAAGTAAAAAAAGCCAGACACACAGGTCACCTGTAGTCTGATTCCATTCACATGAAATATCCAGAACAGGCAGTGCCAGGACCCAGGGAGGGGGTTGGTAGTGGCTGCTAGTGGGTCCCTGAAGGTGAGGAGCAGACATCCTCAAAGGAGGTGACGGTGATGGTTGTGCAACTTTGTGAATGCACTACAACCCACTGAGGTGGACACTTCTAAATGCTGAAATGATGGCATATGAGTTATATCTCAGCTTTTATAAGCAGGTAATCCGTTGTCCTTCCCAGGAGCAGCAGGGTTTGGGAGCTGCTGCAGGAAGTGCCTGCACACAGCGAGAGCTTATAGGTGGTCCCAGTAATGAATATATCACATACATATCATATTAACTTGGGCTCATCTGCCTTTCTACTCTGGGGCCTAAGAGGCACTCCAATTCCAGGGCCCAGGAAAAGCTTGGATTTGTGAGAAATTTCAAGGGGAAGGCTTTGGTCCTGGGCTGAGTCTTCCTCTGGCACCTAAACCAGAGGCTCAAGGCCCTGAGAAGTAGGGCTACCAAGTGCCTGGTTTTCCAGGGCTCTCCTGCTTCATACCTGCAGTCCAGATTCACTGGTAACTGTGCCTGGCTCACTCCCAAGGGGTGTGCCACCCACTTCTCCTTGGAGGACAGCACAGGTCAGGACAAAGACATCCTCCCCAGACCACTGTCCATTCATCTGTCCAATCACTCATCGGTCTGCCTCTGGCACTGCCCCATTCTATGCTCATAGCACATGGAGACAGCTAACAGGGCCAGCTGGAGAGGGATCCCACTCTGGGCTTCTGGGAGGTGTTGTTGTCAGCCTGGAGTAGAGGGTGTTGATGTCTTTCGAGGCTAGAGCACATGTCAGCCAGGCCTCAGGGCGAGGCCGGGAGCCACCTCCAGTAGCCAGATAGGCCCCTAGCAGGAGGTGGCAGGGGCCTGAATGAGGGCAAAGAAAAACTGTGGGGCAGGGGTAGCCATCTAATGGGGGGAGCACTTCAGGAAAGGGTCATGGGCAGTGATACTCCTGAACTCAGGCCTCACCACTGTCTTGCAGCCACCCCAGGGCTGACGCTGAGTACCGACCAGCTGGCCCTGGTCTACAGCAGCCTGGGACTCTGCCTCGGTGCCATCATCTGCTGCTTCCTCCTGGCCGTGGCCTGCTTCCTCAAGAGGAGCAGTGACCAGTCCTCCTGCCGGTGCCCCGCAGGGCTGTGTTGGTCCTGGGCCAAGTCCTCCAAGGGTGAGCATGAAAAGGGGGTCTTCACCTCCCACTGCTTGTGGGATGAGTTGCCGGCCTTTGCTCTGTGCTGATACCTCCCTGCTTCCAAATGGAAGGCATTTGGCCAGCTCTTCCTGGCCGAGGTCTGTGACCCTGCAGTCTTCTTCCTTTGTTGGTGAGTCAGGTTCAGAAAAAAAGGCAAGGAGACAGGGCACCTGAGGAAGAGCAGGTGTAGGGCAAGGGCCACAGGGTTGTCAGGGGCCTTAGAGGGTTTGCAGGAGGCTGGGCAACAGGGGGAGGAGGAGGTCTTCCTTGGGGTGTAGGGGCAGAGTGTGAAAGCCTGCTCCCACACAGGCCCCCAGGCAGGAGGGACAGCTGCCATGGCCACAGGGAGGTGGACGCTGGGAGTGTGGGGGTGTGCCATCTTCGGGAGGCATTTTACTCTTTCAACAACCCAGCCAGCTGTCCCTGGGGTACAGGCCTGAGGAGGGGGGTTGGGGCCCAGGCCAAGGCCCTCTTGCCTTCCTACACAGATCACAGAACGGAAGCTGGGAGCACAGCACGCAGGCCGCAGGAACCTGTGGAGACCTGCAGCTTCTGCTTCCCCAAGTGCGGGGTGCCCACCCAAGAGAGCTCGGGCCAGCTGGGTGCCCCCAGCCCCATGAACGATGGGAGGTGTGGGTGCCCCAGCCCTGCAGAGGCCGGAAGGGCCTGCATGGAGTCCTTGTCCCCGGAGGGCACTCTGGAGGCTGTGTGCTGGCCTGCCCAGGAGGGGGTCCCAGCTGTGTGAAAGGGGGTGTGGGGATGGGGCATAAAAGGAGGGAAAGAAAGAGAGGGAGGGAGGGTTGGAGGCAGAGAGAGAGGGAGAGGAGAGGAGAGGGGTTAGTGAGGGAGAGATGGGGAAAGAGAGAGGAAGGGGACAGAAGCAGAGGGATGGGGGAGAACAATGGAAAAGGGGACAGAAGAGCAGGGGGTGCCAGGGTGGGAGACCTCACTGTCCTCATCCCAGGTCTCCACTGCAGGTTGCCATCATCTAAACATTTCTGCAATAAAGTAACCTGTGCTTGCTGGACTCAAGTCTCCAAGAGCCCATCTGTAGGAGTAAAACCTTCCAGGATGCCGGCTCCTTCCTGACACTCATTTTGGTCATGCCTTCCCCTGGGGTGATTCTGAAAGGCCCCACCTCCCAAGCTGCCTCCCTTGGCTCACTGCTCCCCCACAATGCAGCTGCAGCCCCCAGTTTCCCAGGACATACATGTTTCCTGTCCACTTGGCTCCAGAGAGGGCTTGCCGACCTGTGGGGCTGGAAGCAGTGGGTGCATGCTGCAGAGGGGGAGCTGCAGAAGGGCCCTCAGAGCATGTGTGCCTACAGCTATGCCTGGATCTCGAGGGCAGGCATTTCTGTTGGTTTTACAAAACCACTCCCCACTGTGCCTCCTCAGGAAGGGAAGGAAGGGCAGTGTGCACATACCCGTGTGCTGAGGGAGTATGCATGTGCACATGTGTGTACACAATGTCTGTATACACAATGTGTGAGTGTGGCAGGGTGTGGGGTGGGCAGGAAGGGGCAGGCTGGCTGAGCTCAGGAGTATTCTCACTTGTGCCCACCTTCAGCCATATCTACCACCAACCTGCGTTATTAGTTGCTTAATATTTTTTCTCCCTTAATTCACTTTTTCTTCTAGATCTACTTTAATTTCATACTAAATTTTATGGGCTCTGACTGATAACACTAAGCAATTCACAATTTTAGATGTTACCGTACGCCGGGCGGCTTAGACATCCGACCTCTACTGCCTCCCAGTTCTGGAGGGGAGGTGTCAGACGTCCAGGGGTGGCAGCGCTGGTTGAGGGAAGGACCTAGTCCAGGCCTCTCTCCTTGACCTGTGTTTTCTCCCATTGTGCCTGTGTCCAAATTATTTCTTTTCATAAGGACACCAGTTGTTAGATTAGGCCCGTCCTCATGACCTCATTTTAACTTGATCACCTTTGTAAAGACTCTGTCTCCAAACAAGGTACATTGAAGTTCTAGGGCTAGGACTTCAGCACCTGAATTTCAAGGGGCACAGTTCAGAGCCCACCCCTGCTTCATCTCTGTCTGCAGGCAAGCTGGTTTCCACAGTGTCTGCCCGGCGTGCAGCCCGCCTTAACAGACAAATGAGGGGCGTGTCAGCTGTAGTGTTTCCTGCCACAATGCTCAGTGAAAGAAGCTTCTTATGGTCTTTGAAGACTGGCACTAAAACCCCATAACTAGTGCAGACAGTAGTTGGCTGCTGCCCAATTCTGACGCCTCTTAGAATGTGGCAGCTTGTCTGAAAGGTGTGTGGTCAGTTGTTTGCTCTTTCTGTGGTTTCCCAGTTTTGCCTGGCTCTGGCTTCCACCGGGCAAAAGTAATTTGGGCTTTTTACCAGCTTTTAGACTACTCTTTTGAGTTTATGTTTTTTACTTGTTTGTTTTTCTAAGACAGGGATCCATCCGTTGCTACAGAGACTATCTGAAACTGAGAATACTGTCCTCCTATCCATGCTCTGTGTCTGTTGGTTCTTTCTCCAAAATATATTCTGATTCCCGCCCCTCGTTACAGACACTTGAAGCTGAGCTCTTGTCACTTTTCACCCAATGATTGCACCAGCCCCCACTGGCCCCCCGTTGCCATCTTGTCTCCTAATGAAAAGGACAAGAGAGTAAAATCCCTTGGACTTTGTGGACCACACAGTCCCTGCTGCAGGGCCCACACACTTGGAAACAAATGGGGTGACTCCTTCTTGGATAGAACTGCTAAGGAGGATAGTGGGGTCTGGACCATGGGCCATAGCTGGTCAACCCTGTCCTGCTTTCTGACTTGCTTGAGACATAAGTGACACCTAATAGTATGTAAGTTTAAGCTGTCGATTGGATATTTATTAATTGCAAATTGATGATCACCAGATCCTGTCACATAGTTACCATTTCCTTTTTTTTTTTTTTTGTGGTGAGAACACTTAAGATCTATTTACTTAGCACTTTTCAAGTATATAGTGGAGTGCTATCAGCTATAATCGCCATGCCATCCATAGACCCCCAGAATTCGTCAATCTTATAACTCTAAGTGTGTACCCTTTGACCATCACCTCCCCAGGCCCCCAGCAACCAACACTCAGTATACTCTCTGTTCCTCTGAGCACTTATTTATGCCTCTAATTTTTTTAATGGTTGTTTACAATACACATCTTTAATCACAGTCAGCACTCAGATTACAGTGCTGCACGTGGAGGGAGAGAGCCTGGCGGGGTGTCATTCTCGTGCCGCCTCTCGTGCACCTGTGCCGGGCGCTCGGTCTCCACGCAGTCTGCAGAGTCACAACACAGTGTGCCTGTGTCTGCTTCAGAAGTTCGGTGTATTTTAGTGTAATGAAAAATAAGGAAACATTGCCTTTCATATTTACTTTCATTTCTGGAAATTCTCATTTTTGTGTGCATAGATTCAAGTGTCTGGTATCATAGTCCTTCCACCTGAAGGACTTCTTTTAACATTTCTTATCCTGCAAACCTGCAGGAAATGAATTCTCAGTTTGTGTCAGTTTGGAAAAGTTTTTCTCTTTCACTTTTGAAAAATATTTTTTCTGGGTATAGACTTTGCAGTTGTCAGTTTTTTCCTTTCAGCATTTTAAAGCTATTACCCCATTATCTTGGGCTTGCATGGGTTCTGACGAGACACCTGCTGAAATTTCTAGCTTTGCTCCTTTGTAACTATGCCTTCACAATGCTCATCTTCCCTTTTCTAGCAGTTTGAGTATGTTGTGTCTATAGGAGGTGCTTTTTGATTTGTGTTTTTGTTTTGGTTAGGTTTGTTTTGTGATATATCCTGCTTTGCAGTCTCTGAGATTTTTGGATCTATAGCTTGATGTATTTCATTATTTTAAAAAAAAATATTTGCCATAATCTCTTCAAACTGTTTGGTGTTTATTGTCCTGTAGCTCTGGTATCCTATTGCTCCCCACCTCCCCTTCTCTTTTCTCTTTGTGTTTCAGTTTGGGTAAATTCTATCAGTCTTCAAGCTCACTGATTCTTTCCTCATCTGTGTGAGTTCACTGATGGGCCCAGAAAAGCCATTCTATATATGTTACCATATGTTTTCCTTCTAGCATCTGCACTGACTCTTCTTCATAGTTCCATCTCTCTGTAGAAGCTCCCCATCTTTTCATGCCGTGTTCCACATTTTCCATGACAACCTTTCACAAATTAATCTGAATTATCTAAAATTTTCTGCCTAATACTTTCACCAGCTGGATCATCTCCGAGTCTGGCTCTGTCGATTGGTCTCTTGGTAGTGGGTCATTTTACTTGTTCTTTTGTGTGTATTGAAATTTGTAACTGAATGCCAGACCTGAATAGAGAGACTGAAGTAGGAAGTGTTCGTGCCTGGAAGTGGGCACACCTTTTCCCCTGCTAGGCGGAGAGCGTGAGGGAGGAAGTCAACTGAGGGAGTCAACTAGTGTGGGTTTTGTTGTTACTATGGGCACCTCAGGGCTCAGATTCCCCTACTGTGCCCATGTTCTGGGGTGGGGGCTGGGTTCCCAATATTCCGACTCCATCCTCACAGTCCTACACCTTCTCTGTGTGCCTCTGCCTCTAAAGCGTCTTTCTCCATTTTTTTTGCCCTCCTTTGTGGCAGTTGGCCATCACTTGGTGCTTGCTGACTGGGTGGGGAGGCTGTGCGTCCTCTTGCTCCATCTCATTCTCAGGCAGGCCCTGTGCCCCTGGGTGGGAGGATGGGGCTTTGCAGTTGCCCTCCAGGCCCAGGGATGTTTTCCTGTCCCCAGCTACAGTGAAGGGGGATTCTCCTTCCTCCCTCCTCCCACTGTCAATGGGTTTTCACCTATACCTTGAGGCCAATAGGGTTTCTTTCCCCTTTTCAGTAGTTTGCAGCTTTTGTTTGCTAGTGAAAGAGTCCATGTAGGCCTGCATTTACTTCTGCTGCTGTGGCCACATCCTGCCCAAGCCTGCACCCCGAGAGAGTCTCTCTGTGGTCTCCCACTGTATGCCTGATATTTGCTTTTTTATGAGGGCCCTGTGGAAGTCTGCAGAGAAGAGCCTGCATGTGGTGTCATCTCTCCTTGTCTGCAGTTCTCAGCTCTACTCATACTACCATTAGCCATTCTTCTAAGCCTCAGCAGAATTCCTCTTCCCCTTGAGCCTGGCTGGTCTGCCTTCTTCCCTGCACTTAGCTGCGGTTGGCTGGTGTCATGTCCTGTCTCCTTGGGGGTACCTGCCTTCCTGCGACGCTAGGCTCAATGGCTGCCCTGCAACTTCAGTGCATGGATGGGTTCAAGATAAAACACAGCTCTGTAAATTATCCAGCTTTTTATTTCTAGGGAAGGAGTGGCCCCTCTCTGGCTTTCTACTTCCTAGCTGGCAGCTGGAAGCCAGAGAGATCTTTTTTAAAATATCAGTCACATCATGTCTTTTCACTGCTTAAACCTTTCAATCAGTTCTAGACACAGAGTAAAATCCAGCCTCCTACAAGGGCCTGTGAGCTTCACATGGTCTGGGTCCCTGGCTTCCTCTCAACTTAGCATGTATCATGCTCCAGCACCTGCCACCCTCTACCACACTCATCCTCACTCTCAGAGTTGTTTTATTCCCTACTCCTGCCCCAAGGCCTTTGCTGTTTCTGGTCCCTCCACTGGGAATGCTTTTCCATGGTCACGTAGGTCGGATGGGGTGCTTCTACCATGCAGGCCTCAGTTTCAATGCCACCTTCTAAGAGGTCCTTTCCTCTACCCAAAGTTTCCACCTCTCCCTGATTCCT